GATAGGCATTTTTTTGTATGGAATTGAATGGCAAGCATTTTAAATGTATGGAAATGTCTGATAAACCATTTTTTGTATGGAGATCAACACGGGATGTTGCGATACATTTTTTCGGATGCCTTAAAAAATTTTCAAAGTGGGTTGAAAAATGATTTTTTTTTGAAAAAACCTGAATTTGAAAAAAAAATTGCTAGTCATACAAATTTCCATGCATGGTCATTAGTTTTCATTGTGGAAGAATGCTAGTCGAACAACTCTTATCTATGCGAATCGTATGACTAGCATTTTCCCAAAGAAGAATTGAATGAAATTGTATGACTACCTTTTTCGGAGTGTAGAGGTCAACCCGGGTTTGGTATTTTGCGGGTGAAAATTTGTTGAATACTATAGCATGCTTGCCAGAAACTTGCAGAAAGTATTTGAATTACGTGTAGTTTAACTTCTTGTTATTTTTGCAGTCATATTTAACTCGAAGCATTTTAAGCAATTTAAGAAAGGTACCCTGCCAAAAATTTGCTAAACTTTGGACAAAGTGGTTTATTTTATTAGATTATGTTCTCTAAACTGACATCTTATTTTTAATTCAGCATTTTACCGTAATCTTATTTTTTGAAACCAGTCTTAGTTTATCAGTTTTTACCGTTTAGTCTGAGCTAGTTTTTTAGAGTTGAACTTTATATCTAGATATCCAACCTCTTTGTATCAGTTTTTGTCTAACGGTGACCTAGACAAAAATGCCGAAAAATTGTGTAATTTATACAATTTTTTGCATCACACGATATCTTGTCAGGAGCTTAGCGCATTCTCAACAAAAACGACGTTATTAAATTTATAATACCCTAAAAATTATTTCCAGGATTTTTTTGAAATTTTAATTTTGGTTGGAGAAAACGCATCGTTTAAAATTTTCATGATTTGAAATTGCATGATAATCATTTTTTCCATCGACTCCGTGGATGGAATTGTACGATAAGCATTAACTTTTGGTCTATGGAGGTCAACACGGGAAGTTTTTAGAGTGTAGGTTGAAATAGGGTAAAATGTCATTATGTAATATGTCGTTAAACCTGTGAATTCCAGGGTCTCTTTATGACTCATCGGAAACATTTTCACGCCATCCACCAGGAAAATTGACCTGTGGATTGAAGTTGAGATTTTGAAAGAAGGATTCCTCAGTTGCCAAATAAAGAGCCAACGATGCGTTCAAAGCGTGAGCTATATATAGGTTGTTCAAGTGCAAACTTTACCGCTTCGAAGTTGAGCACCCAGTGAGTCGATCCCTTGTACTTGGTCAAGCTCCAGGGTAAGGTGTCGGGCTGTCGCTCAGGAATTACCTTATGCCCTATCAAAAAATAATAAATACAAGTCATCGTCATCCAAATTTTTTTAAAGCAATCTAGTGGATTGAAATCTGTTTTTTATGATAGATCAACTCCATTTTCTGTCTAAAGTTTAATCACAAAAAAAACAGGCTAAAAGTTACAACTCAGTGGTTCGAAATAAAATGGTAGGGAGATCAAACAGCAGAATTCCCCCCAGGAATCCATTTAGCAAAGGTAACGTTCTTTCTAAAGTCTTTAATTGAGCTACATCGAAGACTTTAAAACTGAAATAATAAACTCACGTCAATTGACATTTGAACTTTCCCCGGTACAAGATATTTGTAAATTGAACACAGCGGTGATAAAATCTGGTTTGTTAAAAACACACACTTTGCGAGCAACTATAGGAACCATTGGTTTTCCATACTTCGTTAATCAAATTGTCGAAGTAGATAGGAGAGGCTAGAAGGAGAGTTCCCGGATTCCTTTGGAGACAAACCCGGAAAGTGAAATCCTTCATCCACCGGAAAGGACGACAGCGGCTACCGGTGCAACTACCTTCATCCAGTGTTCCTCATCCTCACCACCTTTCAATCGAAAACCATCAGCCAAAACCAAGGCCCCAACAGAAATCAAGTCCACTTCAAGGGATGCGCCTAAGAGGAAAAGGCAGGCTAATACACCGACGAACCCCAGTAGAAGACAACCCGGGTTGACCTCCGTAGACCAAAAATGCTAATATCATACAATTCCATAAACTAAGTCTATGAAAAAATACTAGTCATACAAATTTCATACATTTTAAAATGGTGTCATCGAATTTTCGAAGAACTTTTCTCTTATTTTGGCATAAATTTTGGTGTATCGTACAAAATAAAAAAGAAAAACTTTTTGTCAAAAAAATGCGAATCATACAATTTCCATATGTTTTGAAATTACCCCCGAAAAATTTTTTTGTGTTTTTTTTTCAACCGCAAAATGATTTTCGTACTCAAACCAACATTTTTTCAAAAAAAAAAATTTTGTATGCAAAATTTATTTTTTTATGTGTAGTCCTGGATATACTAATATTGGATTTTTTTCTCCTTTTCTCTTGATACCATTTTTCAAAAGTGCTCAAGACTCCTCGTGTTTTCTATGGCATGTTTTTGTATGCTTTGATCAATGTCTCGTATTTTGAAAATTCAAATTTTAGAAATAACCATCTTAGAAAACTTTTGCCAAAATTTAAAAATTTGATACTTTCGTTATCTGATTTGCGTGAGACAGAATAAAGACATTGCAGGCTGTTTCCAAAGCATTTTTAATGCGAGACGGCCACACCTTTGGTTACTACGTTTGAGTAACCAAGGTTTAAGTCATTTGTGTTCGGTTACGAACACAACCAAAAAATTTTGAGAAATTAAAATGTAAAAATTCAATGTTTTTGGTTTATGGAAAAATGCTAGTCATACAAATTCCATATATGAAAAAATTTTAATCATAGACCTTTCATGCAATTATCTGTACGTATGGAACTGTATGGAAAGTGTATGACTAGCATTTTTCCATATATGGAAATTGTATGACTAGCATTTTTGGTCAACCCGGGAACCTTTTCGGTCAAAGAAGAACAACATTTCAGGTTATTTCTCATGCGATAAATATTGATTTATTCCTTTGGATACGTCAGATATTAGCAATTGGGAATGGTCGGTGGGGGCTTGCCTTGTAGGGATCTTGGCAAGGAGAGAAATATCGCCGATAAACAAAAAGCTCGTAAATCTCCAAAACCGGAAAAAAATAAACTAAAATACTAATTTCACAATCAAACCTGAGAATTTATACACTCCAGAGACGACCGATTGCCTCATCGGTCATACGAGCCACTTCATGTTATCAACTTCAATCAATAATATTCAGGAAATCATCAACATCATAAAATGTCAGCCTGCTATCGACTAGTAATTCTCGTGTACAAATATGTATTATTAACTACATTTACAAAGTAGTAAGAAGCTGAATCAGGATAGCCAGTCGCTATGTGCAAGTGACGCAGAATGTTCCGACCTTAGAAATTTAAATTGAGAAGCTTGAAAAAAATTTCAAAAAGAAATTCAATGTTTTAAAAAACATCCATTACAAGAACTTCTTTTCCCCATTCGACGTTTTTTATTCGAGTGTTAAGGCTGCAAAATTGGTTGAACTCTTGCAAGAAAAAATTAATTTTGTCTCCGTGCAATTTTTGTGTGGTTTTTTCTGAAAAAGAGAAAATTACGGCCCCATTTTTCTCGACATTAGTGGAATGGGGGCGTATTGGGGTCGGAACATGAAATTTGGTCTGCAATATCTCTTGTTTTTTTGATCATTGAGTTCTCTTTGAGATATGTTGAAGGGGTTTTCTAAAATATTAAGCGTTTATCAGATGAAAAAAATCAGTAGGTCGGTAAAAATATTTACAAATACGGGTGTCAGTTCGAATCAGCTTGAATATATCTGTCTAAATTATCAACCCGCACTGAATTTTTATGGATAAACTCCCCGAACCAACGGCTTGCAAGTCTCGACCCCCCCCCCCCCCCTCAAGAATCACAACGCTGGGGTTTGGTTCGTTCTGGCGGCGGCGGTGGCGGGGGTTAGTGGTAAAGGGCAAACTTTGGCGGGACGGAGATGGAGGTGGTAAAAAAGAAACAAGCGGCAAACGTTCGAGAAACTTTAGATTTAGAAATTGAGTAGGTTGTACACTCGTTTTGCAAAATTTTCCCTTACTAATTTGGTAAATGCAGGTGTTTTTGCAAAAATTTGCGCAATAGGAAACAAAAAAGTGGAGAAAAAAATTTTTAAATGATTTTAAATGGACTATAATTGACTTTTTGCTCCAATTAGTTGTCTGAAGGCAACATGAAATCCATTATTTTGATAACAAAAATCCATCTTAAATATTATTAAGATCTTAACAATTAACAGAATAATTAAAAGTTATATTTCGGGCTATTAACGCGTAAGCGGAGATTTAATCCGTATTAGAAATCATTCCAACTTGAATTGAGGCATGCTTCTTTCTAAAGTCTTTAATTGAGCTACATCGAAGACTTTAAAACTGAAATAATAAAATCACGTCAATTGACATTTGAACTTTCCCCGGTACAAGATATTTGTAAATTGAACATAGCGGTGATAAAATCTGGTTTGTTAAAAGCACCCACTTTGCGAGCAACTATAGGAACCATTGGTTTTCCATCAAATTGTCGAAGTAGATAGGAGAGGCTAGAAGAATAGTTCCCGGATTCCTTTGGAGACAAACCTGGAAAGTGAAATCCTTCATCCACCGGAAAGGACGACAGCGGATACCGGTACAACTACCTTCATCCAGTGTTCCTCATCCTCACCGCCTTTCAAAGGAAAACCAACAGCCAAAACCAAGGCCCCAACAGCAAACAAGTTCACTTCAGGGGATGCGCCTAAGCGGAAAAGGCAGGCTAATACACCGACGAACCCCAGTAGAAGACAACCAATTCAGTCAAAAAAGAACAACATTTCAGGTTATTTCTCATGCGATAAATATCGATTTATTCCTTTGGATACGTCAGATATTAGCAATTGGGAATGGTCGGTGGGGGCTTGCCTTGTAGAGATCTTGGCAAGGAGGGAAATATCGCCGATAAACAAAAAGCTCGTAATTCTCCAAAACCGGAAAAAAATAAACTGAAATATTAATTTCACAATCAAACCTGAGATTTTATACACTCCAGAGACGACCGATTGCCTCATCAGTCATACGAGCCACTCCATGTTATCAGCTTCAATCAATAATATTCAGTAAATCATCAACATCATAAAATTGCCAGTCTGCTATTTATTGACTAGTAATTCTCATGTACAAATATGTATTATTTACTACATTTACAAAGTAGTATCAAGCAGAACCAGGATAGTCAGTCGCTATGTGCAAATGACGCAGAATGTTTCGACCTTGGAAGTTTAAATTGAGAAGCTTGAAAAAATTTCAAAAAGAAATTCAAGGTAATCAAAAACATTCATTAAAAGAATTTCTTTTCCCCATTCGGTGTTTTTTATTCGAGTGATAAGGCTGCAAAAGTAATTTTGTCTCCAAGCAATTTTCGGGTGTTTTTTTTCTGAAAAAGAGAAATTTACGGCCCCATTTTTCTCGACATTAGTGGAATGGGGGTGTATATTGGGGTCGGAACATGAAGTTTGGTCTGCAATATCTCTTGTTTTTGTATTTACTTGTTCGCTTAAACAGTATAAAGTCTTTTATTTCATTCCTAAGCATTTTAGTTTTCAGCTTCACTGTCGGAGAACGCCAAACCTGCTCGTGCTTCCCGCCTTCTAAGCTTCCTAATTAGCTTTTGCAGCCCATCGACATCGTCAGTTAAGTAAGACTTGACGCTCTCTCTTGCTTCGAGACGCTCTGATATTCTTCCAGTTTGACCGTTTCCTCGAACTCTTTCAATTGCGTCTATTTGGAGCTTGAAATGACCCACGAAAGCTTTTACCGAAGTAATGACCTTTTTAAGAAGCATAAGAAGGTCAATGTAGTAGTACGGGTCGGCGATGTGTGTTAATCTGGCGCCATGAACTCCGTTGACCTTGTTAAAGAAATCCATTTTGAAGTCTTCCGCCAGATTCCGAATATGTAGCAGGTGACTGTCCAGTTTGCGAGCACTCTCAATCGTCCAATCATCTTTCTCGAACCGATCCAAATTAACGATGAGATTCATCAGTGAAACTTGGCAACCAGGTAGCTTTTGTTCTACCATCATCAAGGGTCCTAGTTGATCATTGAGTTCTCTTCGAGATATGTTGAAGGGGTTTTCTAAAATATTAAGCGTTTATCAGATGAAAAAAATCAGTAGGTCGGTAAAAATGTTTACAAATACGGGTGTCAGCTCGAATCAGCTTGAATATATCTGTCTAAATTATCAACCCGCTTTGAATTTTCGTGGATAAACTCGTGGATCGTTTGCGAAAGTTTATATTTAGAAATCGAGTAGGCTGTACATTCGTTTTACAAAAATTTTCCATTACTAATTTGGTAAAGGCAGATGTTTTTGCAAATTTTGCACAATAGGAAACAAAAAAGTGGAGAGAAAATTTCTTAAAATATTTTAAATGGATTATAATTGATTTTTTGCTCTAATTAGTTGTCTGAGGGCAACATGGAATCCATTATTGTGATAACAAAAATCCATATTAATTATTATTAAGATTTTAACAATTAACAGATTGATTAAAAGATACATTTGGGGCTATTAACGCTTAAGCGGAGATTTAATCCGTATTAGAAATCGTTCCAACTTGAATTGAGGCATGCTTTCTGATCTATTCAATACTTGATGATATCTATGATGATATCTGAACAATTAAATTGGCCTGCATGGTAGCTTCTCAATTAAAGCAAGTAAAATTTTTTTTATTGTTTTTCTGAAACTTATTAGTAAAACATATCAGTAAGTCAAATAATCAAATTTATTGGATTTTTAAAATTTTTTATGGTGACAGCCACAGTGAAGTTCCAGGGATAAAAATCGATTATAAACGAATTTTGTGGTCAAAAATGTTGCCGTATAATTGATTATAATTACACTTTGAGACCACAAAATCGATTGTAATCAAATATAATCTATTTTTTTAAAGAAATTAAATTGATTTTAATTCATTTAAAATCCATTATAATGGATTTAAAGGATTATTATAAATTTAGTTATATTACCTATGATTTTTTCAAAGTTTCTGCAAGTTGGCAACTAAATTTGCAATACTAACAACATATTCAATTTCCAAATCTACTTTCATAAATTAATTTATGAAAAACTGTACCTTTCACACTTTAAACCCAGTTCTTCTGTTTAACACCCAAATTGAACACGCCTATCTCCCATCCCCCATTATTAATACACACACCTAACCCCATAAAGATTTTTTTGGGGGTGGGGGAAGTCTTAAAGGTCTGCATGGGAGGGGAGGTTAAGATATGTGTGGGGGTAGAGGTGAGGGGGGCACACGTTGCAGTATTTTCACGTATTTTTACGGTAAATGTAAGTAAAGGGTAAGTGGTATGGGAGGGCATGGTGTGGTAAGTGAAGTAAGTGGTGGTGGTGGTGGCGGGGGAAAGTGGCGAAGACAAAAATTTTTAGAAAAAATACATCATTGTAGGCAATGGTAAAACACAATTTAACGATTGCAATGTTCAAAATTTGAAAAATTACTTTGAAGGTTTTGGAAAATTCAGTTTCGTACACATAATTTTTTAAAGCTATTATGGTTCTGTATAAATTATTCTAAGGGATTAAATTGATATCTATTTTATTTGTTTTATAAATGATTGTTTTGATGGAGAAAAACCATGAAAGTCCAAGATAATTGATTATCATCCATTGAACCTCAAGGAGGGCAGTCTACAAAATTAGGTTATGATTATTTCAAAATTCGAAGGTGAAATTGTAATCAACAAGGGATAGGAAGCAGTCATTACAGCATATATATTAACATTAGTGAATTATATTTATATAATTATCATTTTTAGAAAAGTCTACAATGATTCATTACGATTGAATAAACCTTGATTATAATAAATTTTGAAATTCACAATCAAAAAGTTTAAAGAAGAATACACAGTTATTTTTACTGTAATGTAATTTTTTAGATGGACAGCGTAAAAAGAATGGACAGCGTTTAATTCACTCTCATATAAAACTTTGTATCTAATGTACGTTGATGCGATCAATTTGTGTGCTGCTGGCTTTGTACCTTGATGAATAAACCAGATAAATTTCACCCAAATGAGGAGGAAGTGAGCCAAAAACACAAATTCGGGCTGGTGGAGGGCTATTTTTTGACCTAATTTTTTTTTTGGAAAAGTGGGTTGTGGGTTGTTTTGGGCAAAAAAAATTGTGCAGAAAAAGGATCAAACTGAGTAAAATTAAAATTAAAAAACTGATGTGGGCTGAAGTTTTGAAATTTTTTGTTTCAGATTTCAAAATTGATAAAACAGAGTTCCGGAAATAATTCAAGTAGCTTTGTTTGCCTAGTTTCTAATAGATTACAGAATAAAAAAAATAACGATTGTTTACATAAAAAAAAACAATAAATAAGTGAGTGGGTGAAGGACTCATGTGTGAACGGAAAACAAAATCAGCCGATATTCAATTAACAATATGGATCAATTGACGATTATTTAAAAGGAATTAAATGAAAAAAAAAATTGTTTCTTTTATAACGAACCCCTTCAAAAATATATAAATTGTTTCAATTCGCAGGCTGTCAGTGACAATTTGAAAATTTGTGTATCACCGCCGTTTTATGTTTGGCTAATTTTATTACCAAGTCCCTGGAAATACTTTTTGTTTGAGATTTTGATGCTATTTTTACATATTTTGGAAAACTGAGATCTGATTGGCTAATTTTTATTTCAGCCCTTTTTTTTATTCGCCTATGAAGGATTCTAGCATATGTTTTTGTATGTCTAACTAGAGTTTCACAAATCAATATGCTTATTTCTACGAACGCACTCGAGTTGCTTCAAAAACACTGGTTTGTATTATTCCATAATTTTGTTATTAAGTACTCAGAAGGACACGATTCATAAGAAAGTAGGCCAATAAGGCATTTTAACTGAAAACCTGAATTCTGTTTCATCAATCTTCTTGAAACTTGAAACATAAAGTATAACACGACTGCTCGTATCAGGGCGAAACCCTAATTGTTCTAATTGAGATCTATAGAGTACTCTTCGCTTTAAAAAAAGTGATGAAATTTTCAAAAAATACATTTAAAAAAATGTCTGGAGTTTTTTTTGTGAAAATCATCCTCCCACACGCTTTGTAAAGTACAGAAAGATATATTTAGCATCATTGATATGATCAACCCAGATATGGGAACGAATGCGCGTCTGTGGCCTCTAAAGTTTTCCCGTTAATTACAGTTAATTTTCTTTTTTGTTCGGTGGTCGGAAGAAAATCATTTAAGCCACCAAACAAGCCAAGCAACAAATATTAAATCCTGATGACTGCTTCATCAATCTTCAAATTTGTAACAACAAATTTTAAAAAACTGTTTTGTAATTTTGTTGGTTTTTTTCAGATTTACTCAGTTTCCTACTTTTACAGCACGGTTTCATTTGTACTACTCGCTTTTCGTATGACTTTTTTAAATTGTTTTTTTTTCGACTTAAGATTCTTACAAGCATTCGGGAATGAGTTACCATCCTCGCACATATAAACTCCCTCTCTCAACAGTTTTCCCCTACATTTAAAATAATAAGGAGTAATTATGGGGAGATCGGTGAAAAATGTCTGAAGGCCGAAATATAAAGAATTGGTTCTTAGTTCCCGAGAGAAAATACAAACAAACACGGTATTATGGTAATTACCAATGTGTTTATCACGAAGTTGCCGCTGAAATAATTGTGGCGAACAAAGGGTAGTACTTTGATACACTGCTTAGCATGACTTTCTTTCAAACACTTAAGGAGTATTTGGAAAACTTATCAATATTGGTCGGTGTTTTTTGAGCTTTTTTTCAGTTTTGGCAAATTTTGTCAAATGTTTACTGAATAATGTAATAGTTTTGACCCAATAATAGGGTCAAAATTTTGCATGTACAATAGTTTTTGATAATTTTGCAAAAAAACTTTTAGCAATCCATAGATATGTAGTTCTTGTTCTGAGTAAACTTTTTTCTTGTCTTGTTTGGTTTAATGACTAGTTTGTATTTTTAACTGACAAATCTGATTTTACGATTTACTTTGCATTCTAGGTAATTTAATTTGGTTTTTATCCGTTGCGGCATATACGAAAACACCATATTGTAAAATGCATATTTGAAAAACACGAATTAAATTTGAAAAACACGAAAATATATTTAAAAAGAAGTCTAGTATATTTAAAAAGAAGTCTATTTAAACTTGACAGTCTAGCTTTTTATCTATATGAACTACTAAAAACCTCATAATTAAGATATTAGTTTGAAGACATGGTACCTTATGTTTAAATTTAAAAAAAAAAAGAAAACAAAAACTAAAACTTCCACTTTGTGAGAAATTCCACTGTTGAATTGGACTGAATAAGAAGAGCAACAGAAAAGGCCAATAGACAGGTGTTATATTCTGAAAACAGAAGCTTCCGAAATCGCCGTTTTGAAGTTTTTGAAGAAAAAAAAACGAGCAACTATGAACTATGAATACCTTGGCCTGGAGTTTTTACCTTGTATCCTGTAAAGCCTTGTATTCTTTCACCTTGTATTCGGTTTAAACACTAAACTTTCAAAAAAATACATTTATTAGGCTCTTGCATGCTTAACTGAATGATCTGTTTCCTTTTTTGCCTGTTTCTAGAGCAGTAACTGTAGATTAAACTTGAAGAAACACTACAATTTCAAATTCACACGAGGGGTAAAAAAAATTTGACATCGCAGTCAACTCAGTACAACATATAAGTCAATCTTTTCAGTTTATTTTAGCTGATAGCTTCTTTTGTTCTCATACAATTTTTTTAAAAATGGATCAAATTAACATCCTCCCCCCAGCGCTTAATTTAAATTAAATTTGCTAAGCGCTGTATGTAAAATGCTCGATTCTGATATGCTGAAAAATCCCAAATTAGAATCAAGTTATGTTAACTTAATCCAAAAAAAGTATATAATTTTCTCTGCTGGAATTTTTGCATATGCTTAAGAAGAACTGAGCGTTAATTACCGTCCAATCGGCAGTTTGGCCCCAAATCGTTTACGTCCATAGTGGCATCTCCATGCTGATACTGTCTCGGTGGATGTTGGGTCATTTGAGGCCCCGGGTCAGGGCGCACGTCGCCTGAAAATGTTCGGTTTCAATATATGTCCTGCCCAAATCACTTCCATAGGCCATAATTTTTCTATTAAGGATTTAATTTAAATTACTGTTTACTTAACTCTGTCTGCTAATTAGCCGTCTATTTGAAGATTCAACTACAGTGATAAATAGCAGAACTTACTGGAATAAGTTTACTTTTTGCAATTAGTATCTGTTTTGCACTCGAGTACTATTTTCCCCGCTCGAAACTTTGTTCTCAGAAATCGCACTTCGAACTGTTTTTTTTTTTCAAAATCAATGACTGCTTCTGATTACTTGGTGCTTAGGAAATCTGATGCTTAGGACCAGTAGCGGATTTAGGGGGGGGGGATTCGACTCCCATGAGGACCCAAAGGCTTCCCCCCTTTGTACTATTTTGAGATATCCCCCTCAAAGTTAGTATATATTGGCGCCAAAAGCGCATTTAGAAAAATTTTAGGTTCTGTCGGCCAAAAATGGATTTCTTAAAAAGTACCAAAGGGGGGACCCTTTGGGTCGGCAGGGGGTCGAATCACTGGGGGGGGGGGGGGGGGGGGGGGGGCGTCCGCACCTTCCGCCCCCCTCCTAAATCCGCCCCTGGTACAGCTGATGAACTTGCATCTCAAAGTTAGTATATTTTGGCGCCGAAGGCGCATTTAGAAAAATTTTAGGTTCTGTCGGCCAAAAATGGATTTCTTAAAAAGTACCAAAGGGGGGACCCTTTGGGTCGGCAGGGGGTCCAATCACTGAGGGGGGGGGGGGGGGGCGTCCGCACCTTCCGCCCCGCCCCCTCCTAAATCCGCCCGTGATTTTGAGCATAAATCAGCCATTTTGCTGAGTTTTCAATGCGAGACTTGACATTTTTTTGTTGTTTGTTCTTTTTCGGCTCAGTTTCCCCTCTGTTTTTATCTTTTTTGCTTTCGGTACTCAGTAAAGAGTGGTTGAAAAAATTGATATGAAACTGAGAATTGGTATGAAACTGAGAATGTATAATGAGAATTGGTTTTCGATTTTTTCCTGAAGTATATTTTCCTCAGTCAGCTTAGTTTCTGGTCAAGTTTTTGTTGTTTTTTTTTGCTGAGCATGAGGCGTCAGGTAACTTTTGTAACATGTGTTCTTTGCAAAAAGTTCATTTTGTCAATTAGATGAAACTTGCTTTAATATATTTTTTGTTAGTACTTCGTTTTGGTACCACCTTTGTGTTAACTTCGGAGTTTCAGCGTGAAAAAAAGCATAGATTCAAACGCTTACGTTTTGTTTTTTTTTACCACCTGAATTTTTTCATAAATGTCTATGAACATGCATGTAAAATAATCACACCTGAAGTAATTTATTTTCATACCTGCTGCTATGTTTTGTCTGATTTCTGCCGCGTTGCCAGTCTGTGAAGGTCCAGCTTCTTGTATGACTAAAAAGTAAAGTTTGAAAACCTTTTACTCATAAGCATCTCATATTGGACAATTGATTTTGTAATCAAAGTAAGACTGCACGTACCAGGGCAAAGCCCTGAATGTTCCGACTGCTTTTTAAGGTTTATGGAACAGCAATAAAATGGAAAGTTAAAATTAAAAAAAAAATAAATCTATAATTCTTTTTTTTAAATGAGATTTTTTGTGAAAATCATCTCCCCCACACGCCATATAAAGTACAAAGTTTAGCAATTATTAACAAATCAATTATGGCAAATAGGTGCATATACAAAACAGTCCCATACAAAAAAGTCCTATACAAAATCTTCCGAAAAATCATGTAATGGAGGAAAATACGGAGGAAGTAATAAATAAAAGTCCGGCTTAAGGTAGCCGGTGGAGCGGCTGCGCGCGCGTCGCCGCTTTGCGGCGATAACCGGCTCTAAATTACGTATTAAGTCCTACCCTCTGTTGGCAAGATCGCAGTACGTTGGCGCAACTGCGGCGGTTACTGTTCTGTTTAATAAGTTTGTCGAACAAAGGACAATACTCAGCCTGCCTGCTTTTTAAAACAATTATCAATTGGGACTGTTTTTCGGACATTTGGTACCGCACTGTTTTCTTGTTCATTTTTATACTTTTCCGGACTGTTTTGTATTAGACTGTTTTTTATGGGACTGTTTGTACAGACGCGGGCAAAAAAGCTTCCTTTAACCAATTTGGAACGATTTCTATGACGGATTAAATCTCTGCTTACGCGTTAACAGTGCCAAATATGTCGCGCATTAATTGTCCCAATTTGGCCAAAATTGCAATCTTTATTGCCCCATCACATTACAAAAATTGATCACAAGTGAAATATCTTTTCAAATTTAGGCTCAAGACAACAATACTTTTTGAATGATATAAAGAAATTTTTAGTTAAATGGTCGAAAATTGTCAGAAGAAAAAAACTACCCAAGCACCAAGATTCCGTTACTTTCGTTACGAAATTCAGAACAAGACTGCTCGTATCAGTGCGACAGCTTGAGTGTTCCGACTGCCTTTTGAGGTCTATGGAGCAGTATTAAAGTAAAAAAAATCAAATGTAATAAAAAAATGATTTTGTTTTTCAAATTTGAGATTTTTTGTGAAAATCAACACCCCACACACAACAAAAAAATCAAAGTGATAAATTTTGCTCCTAGTAGCAAATCAATACTTTTCCGTTCTAGACTATAGAAAGTTTGTATTCAGTCGTATATTTCAAGTTCACTCGATATAAGTATAAATTCACGATTCCAGTTTGATTTAGAAACTTCAAAAGTATCAATTGATAGTTTTTATTAGAAAACTTAATTGGAACAGGCAATTTTTTTTCCTCAACTTTTTCTGCTGTATGTCCTGGCTAAAAACAAAAATTAATCTTCTTGATAACTTTTTTGACCAAAAGTACAATTTCATCAAAATAATTTCTATTTTTTTAGGAAACTTTGTTTTTGTAAAATAAGAGGGATGAAAATCGAGCCTGGTAAGGAAAATATTTGATGAAAAAAGACAAAAAACTGCCAATTAAAAAAAAATTTTTTTTTTGGTTTTTTATCGTTCGATCATATGAGCATGATTAGAAAACGCGTAAAATTACTGACAGATAAAACTACTTTTTTTTATGGGAAAGTTGAAAAATTGTTTCGTTCGTGTTGTATTTAGCTTTTTTTTTAATAAAAATAGAACAAAAAAGGTAAATTTTTAAAGAAAATGCTTAACAAATTTCTCTCATTCTACAGAAAAAGAATATATCATAATTGAGCAGTAAATCCATGACTTTTCTAAAAATTAACTGAAAAAAGGAAAATGCAAAAAAGATTTTTTTTCTTCAAGTTTTACCTGGTCAATTAACAAATCAAAATTAACACCAAAACGATCAATTTTTTACAATGAAAATGATTAACCATACTGTGAAATTTTGAAGAAAAAAATTGAAAAATTAAACTTTTTGGACATATAGCCGACAAATAGCCGAAAAATTCCCAAATAAAAAAAAAATAAAAATAGCTGAAAAATTCCCAAATAAAAAAAAATACAAATTTGCTCAACAGTAAAACTTGAGGGAAAACCTAATTGTAAAAATAATTTAATCAAAACCAATTTAGTTATAGCTTCATTTGATTTTTATGCGCTTAGACAAAATTTTGACATTAATTGACATCAGTTAGTTTTTTTTTCAAACTTATTTTAGATTCATTTTGACAAAAAAGGGTGTCAATTGGAATTTGATTGCATGTGGCTAATTTTTTCTGTTGTCACATGTGGGTAATTTTTATTGAAGTCAATTTTTTTCCTAATTTGAAGGGCAGACTGGATTATTTTCAACTTAAACAATATAAATTTTTATCAACATAACTTATAAAAGTTTTTATCAACATAAACTTATCTTACTAGAGGTTTATCTATTGTTTTTTGGCTGAAGTTAATATAAGTTTTATTGAAATCTCGCAAATTGGGTCGTTGAAAAAAAAATCATTTGTAAAAGCACATCATTTGTTAGTACTTCCTTTGACGAGATTTCTTCCTTGACGAGAAAATTTAATTTGAAAATTATCAAAATTAGGTTTGAAGATAAGCCTTGGAAATGCTGGAAATCATTATAAAGCACAGTTTAGCAAATTGAAAAAAAGAGTTGGATTCTCAAATTGGCACAAATTTTATTATTATTTTTTGATATGTAATATCAGTTCATCAACCTTTTAGAGTACACTTAATTGCATACAAGGACATCTTTCACACTTTTTCAGAAGATATTTAAGGACTTAATAAGTTTATACAGCTCTTTTGGAATGTCTGATGAAAGAAAAAAAACTTAAACCGACCTATGTTTTGAATATAATTTTTTGTTTATACTAACCGACTGGGCCAAAGAACGTTTTTTTTCTTTGATTCATAATAATCATAATGAAAATAAGCTGAAATTTTGTAAGATAAATTTAGCAGAGAGCTGGCGTATAGACTGCTGAGCGAAAAAAAGATATTGATAAACTTGATCATATCTAAGTGTGATTAGTAATAGGGCAGTCAAGTAGAGTGAGGGCTCTAAAAACAGATAACCTCTGTTCCATAGCTTTTTTAAATTGTAAAGTGACTAACAGAAACTCTCATCCAATGACAATCATCATTTCAAGACAATTTAATTGTTTTTTCAAAAAATGTATGTTCATTTTAAGGGGTCGTTCTCTGCTCAAAGGACACCAGATTTACTGAAACAGACAACGCAAACAATTTGTTTGAGAAAGAAGTAGAGTTTTTCTTCTCTCAGTTTTAAAACCAATTTTTTTGCGATAAATCTTTTGCTTGAAGTGACAATTAAGGAGAAGATAAAAAAGAAAACGCTTCAACGCGGTTGATTAAAAGGAAAACAATAGCGCTGTCTGTTTGTTTTCAGTATCCAGGTCAAAAAGAGGAGAAAACAACCCTGATTTTGAAAGGCCCATTTCCATCGGACAAGTGTTTATTAAAAAAATTAAGTTAAGAGTTAAATTAGTGTCGTATTCACAAATTTTAATCATGGTTCTACCAAAAAACTGTCTGAACCGGGATTGGATTTAGGAGGGAAGCGTTCTTGATGTAGAATTCGGAAAAACTCAAAAATTTTCGAGTTTCGCATGCTCTCATATGATGAGCAAAAGTTGCTCTGCTAGATTACATAGCATCACTTTAGGAAAGCTGAACGTTTAATGATTAAAAGGCGTGAATCCAAAGGATGAGGGTTGGAGTAAAAAAAATGCTGTTCTCCTTTATTTACTACATTGTGGATCGACATTATGCGGGAAAAACAAAAGTTATTGCAAATTACAAACGCGTTTCGGAATAGAACAAACGTTGTCTAACATTTATTAATGCTTTCACGGAACCAAAATTTTTGGAAACAAAACTTACCTCATGCTGAAACTAACAACTTAAATGATCAGAAATTTACATCAAACGAAGAAAGTTCTTTTAAAGCAATGATTTTGAGTTTTGTAAAGTGAAAATAATAGTTTTTAGCCATCAAGCGACAATATATCGTCTTAGAGAAGTTTTTGGAGATTTTAACTTTCTAAAGCTTTGTTGGGCTGTATAAGAAGTTTTTTTGATATATTTTTCTCATCAATTAACTTGATAGTTTCAGCGTCAATTTTGATTAATTAAGAAAAGTAATGACATATTTGTGGGGAAGTTTTGATTCCGAATTTTGCAAAAAAATGCACGATGATACTCCGGTAAAACATTAACCCATTTTTGTTCTCTTCACTTTTTGTCTAACCCCGTCCCAGTAGGAGAACCCTTGGTTAAAACTTCTAATTTTGTTCGTTTTGTCCGGATAAATTAAATCAGCACTGCAGAACAGTAGAAACCCAATTTACGCATGCATTTACTGATAAATTTTTAGCTCTGATTCTGAAAAAATTTTTGGCTCTGATTCTAAGTTACTGATTCGAAAAAAAAACTTTAAAAAAGAAGCTCTCAAGAGCATTTTGGAACCTGAGGCGTCTTTGAGAAAATTTTAAAATTTTTGATTAAACTAAATTTTAGGTCAAAAATAGCTCCAAAGCGTGTAAAAATGTGATCACGTTCAGAGTGATTATGGTCAAAATTTCGAGGATAGGTGTCAAATTCGTATGTCCAACCCCCTGCTAGCATTATCTGCTCTAACCCTGAACAATACCTGAACTGGAATCCAAACCATCTGCCGTGACTGTCGATCGGATGCTCATCGTCTTAGAGTTGTAAATCAAGTCCCGATTAATTAAAAACGAAACTCGAGTTGTAAAACGTAAGTCTAAACGTAAGTCTAAACTACAACATCAAATCTTGAAGTTTTTTTGCATATTTTTGTTACTTCAGCATCAAGTGTTAAACGTCTTATATGGTATCTTTTTCAGCCGCTAGTCATCACTGAAAAAATAAAAGCACCTCTGTTGTCAGTCTAAATTGTTTTCGCACAACGGTTAAAAAATGTATTAAATTTTTTCATTGCTCATTTTTGTCTTACGATTTTGTGTTTGCTTGGCCATAAAAACTGCTCTCGCACTTGTTTTGCGAGGTTCAATTTTACACCACCAACTATTTTATAATGGCACTTCGAGAATCATAGAAATAACCATGATGAATTGAAAAAACTGAACAAACCGCTTATCGTAAATTTACAAAAGTAACATACAAAAAGCTCTGTTGCCGCTTCGACTGCATTTTTATTTATCTTGGTCAGACAGCCGAAACGAATCGTTTTGCAATGAGTAGTTCAAATAGTACTGTGCAATTTGGCCAGATTTCTTCGCATGTGACATCAATGGACCTGAATGAGACCCAAGGGTAAGGTCACAAACATATATATTATTAAATTTTTCCGTGCAATTCGTGATGTGCAAATATTTTGTGCGAAGGGACAGAACTATGGATTTGCCACCCAATTTAAAGTACCTTAACGAACGCTAAAAAGATTCAAACGTAATATCATACAAAAAGCATATTGGCTGTGGTTCCAAAAACAGTAATTATAAAAGATATCTCAGTTTGGAGAAAAGTTTTTTTCGGACAAAACTTTTTTTTGAAATATTTATTTCTTAGAAAACTTTTCTTTTTCAGACAAACATGACGAGAAATGAGAGGCTGACCTCGCCATTTTTCGCTGAAACGTTATTTCCCACTACTATAATTTCACACTTCCGGTTTCAACAATTTCACTCTCCCAATCTGGCAGTTTCTTATCTAATTCAACCACCTTTTGCTAAAACAAAATACTTATTAAGAACTGAAGAAAAAAACTAAACCTAAATTAATTTTAAAATACTTCTCCAAATATTTCCAAAAGGTTTCTTTTTTTAAAACTTTTAAATCTTTTCTTTAAAGATGTTTTAAAATAACCCTATAATTTCAACACTCTTATTGAGGTAACGTTAAGAATTTTAAAAAGTCAACAAAGTTTTTACGCATTTACAAAAAGACAAAAGACTTCAAAAAATGGCTGAAAAAAAAGCTTCAAAACATATATTTGGTGGCAATTAACATAAAATTGAAAAATCGTTTATAAAATCTCTCGATCATTGATCATTATTAATCTTGATTATTGCACAGTTTTGAGAAAAAAATTCTTCATCAATAGATTTTCCAGGTGGTTACAAGAAAAAAAAAGCATTGATATGTAAAAAACGCTCAAAAACAGAACTTTTATTGTCTTAAAAAATAAACTAAGAAAGTCACAGGCTCGTGAAACAATTTCAAGGTTCGCGAATGTCCATAAAGATTTTAACTGTTCAAAAACAGGATAAAATCCATAGAATTTAAATAAGCTGCAACACTTTTTTTGGTAGTTAGTCACTTAAAATTTCTAGACCCAAAAAAATTGATTGGCACTTACATTCCAAAAAAAGACAAAAATCACTGTTATTGCCCCTTGAAAAAAAACTAGTTTTTTTACAGTTTAGTGATACAACTGCAGATTACCAGTAGTTTTTCAAACGTTTATAAATATGAAAAAACGCCGAAACTTGAGCGGTAAAAACGCTCCGACACAAATATTTGGGATGTATTCGCTTATAACCAATAGACCAGAAGCGCTTGCTTATCACCCCTTAAGACAAACTAAGTGATGTCAACAGTTTTGTGATATAACTTTGTCGTACTGATCAAATGTTCAAGCGTTAACAAACAAATAACAAGTCCACAACTTAAGCTGTGAAAAAAGCGGGGCCTAGGAAATTTGACGAGAAGCAAATTAGACGGACGCTACGAAAACGAAATGAGGCAGAATTTATTTTTTACAGATCTGGCATTTTAGACGAAGAAGCTATGAAAAGGAAAGGGCCAACAAAATTTTTTTTTGAGAGTCAAGTTTCACAAATACAACAAGAACATAAAATCTCCATATCTATCAAAACAATTAGTATAAATGAACATAAATGTCAAATTCGAATATTACAGGAGAGTTTTGAATTGAATAAATTATGCATGATTGACTTGTAAAATTTTTGGCCACAGAAATTTAAATGTAGTCAGCAAACAATTTCATTTTTCTAACGAATTTGGTCTGCAAACAATTTTAACCTCTCTCACCTTCGTCTATTTTCTCACAATTGCAGTTTTGCAAAATCGTCTTATTTCTTCTTAAGGACCTCCGCCTAATTTGCTTATTGCCTAATTTCTCAACCCCCGAAAATGGGGTCCAAAACCTTTATTTGGTATGTGTTCGCGTAAAATTAATAGAGCTGAAAAGCTAGCTCATGTGAACAACTGTGTGACAAACTTCGGATTGTAAATAGCGTTTTCAGTGTTTACAAATAGAATGTTAACAAAAAAATTTCCGTACAAAGCTCTGAACATATATTTGGCAGACATTCACAAAAAATTATTGATAAAAGCGCTGTTATATATTTTTGAATTGAAATAATTTGTGTCACAGTTTTGCTAATCCACATTTAAAAATTAATAAATGAAGTAATTTTGCTAACATAATAAAAATGTCAAAAATCCTATGATATGAATTTGATATATCGATTCAATTTTCTGCTGGTTACAAATAGAAGAAAAACTATGAAATTAGCGGTAAATATGCTCAAATTTATACATTTAGGAGGCATTCACGTAGAGTTAACAATTTAGAAATCATTGGTTAGGCCGCTCGTTATCATTTTAATGTAACGGTTTTTTGTAACAATGTGAACAACCAGAAGTTTTTGGGATGATTTTAAATAAAAGATAGTATGAGCGGTGAAAAATTCGCTTAGCAGTTACTTAACAACTGAAAAAAACTTCTGAGGATCAAAATTTTTGTCAAGTGGTCTTTGCGGTAAAAAAAAAACGAGCAAAATCATTTGTCTGGTGTGCTTTCAGCTAAAATTACGCAACCAAAAAGGGTGATTCATTGTTCCTCAAAATTAACAAAGGGATGTTAACACTTTCATAACCTTTACTTTCTATTAGGCGTATGCTTCAAAACATATAAGTTTTGGGCATTCTCAAACTCATAATATTAAAAACTGCACTCTTATTTCCCCTCTAAATTGACTAATGTTTATCACCTTTTTGTGAAACAACTTCGCAATATCATTGGTTTCTTTCGATCGTTTACAAACAAGAAATTCTAAAAACATAAGCGAAATTAGTCGTAAAAAAGGCTGCGAATTTTTTTTGGTATGCATTCTATTAAAGTTAAGAAAAAAAAACAAAAAAACGCTAGTTTATTACTCTTTGAAGTAGACTAAAGGATTATCACCTTAATGAAATTATTTTGAAAAATTAAAAAGTTTTAAAGCCTTCATAAAAACGAAGAAAACCTAAACGTTCAACAGTACAAGACACTCCTAAACGTTCAACAGTACAAGACAGTCCGAAACTCATACTTTGTAGGCATCCACTAAATGTTAATTTAGAAGTTCTTTGCTAATGAACTTATTTCAATTATCTTAGAGGCTTTAAATTACGGGTACAATAAAAGGAAACGCTACAATTCCATTTCACTGTAAGATGCAAGTTCATCAGCTGTACCGAGCAAAACACAAAGATTTATGATCGCACTAAACTGCCGTATAGTTGCGCAGAATTGAATGATCCCTTCCAGAATTTGCGACGACTAAGCAACCAAAAGTTATTGTCAGAGTTTCGCTTTTTATAATCAAAACTGATATTACGCAGTGCATTTATATTTAACAAAGCTGTTGTAAATCATATTTTCAGCATTTTATGTATATTCCAGCTGTTAAATTAAACAAACTATAAAAACTATAAATTTTTCGGTTTATAAATAGATAACATTGGAACTATCAGAAACTATTACAAAAATCAGCTGATCGGCAGAGTTTGAAAAGCATTTTTTTAGATGGTGTAAGATTTATTTTCGTCAAACATATTTACTTTATTTTTTGTCAAGCCATGACATTTAATTGTTATGTTTGCTTTTAGAAGTTTCGATTTTGATGCGATGGAATCTTTCTTAAAATCTTTGCCTCCTGTTAACGTATCGGGCTTCCAGAGATTCCTCGAGAGTTTTCAAACTCTGAAAGAAAACTTCAGACTGATCGAAACTGCCAAAACCTCTGCTCCTGAACTCGAACACTTGAGAATCAGATTGACATTGAGACTTGAAGAGATAGAGATGAATTTGAAGTTGAAGCGAAAGGCGGCAAAGCGAGCCAAAGTTGACTATTTTGTGGAGTCGAAAGAATGGGAGGCATATACTCTACTAATGGAAGAACTCTGCTCAGAATCTGAAGGCTTCGCACGGTAAATTTTCAAAAAAGGAAACAAGTCTAAAATCCATTGCCCGGTTTTTTCTGGCGTTATGAAAAGCTCTGAAAGCTCAAATTACTATTCATTTGAAATTTTGAGAAACCAGTTGTAGTGATGTAAAAAATCACGAACAAAATTTTCGATACTTTTTTGAAATTTGGCAATTCGACTTTCTAAGCTTTTCACAAATCATAAGAGTATTTTGAAATCTGATCTCTTTAACTGCCCCTTCGCCCCAGGCGCAGATTTAGGATTTTGTTTGAGGGTGACAAAAATTTTTTCGAATTTTTGTAGACAAGAATTTTGTCCAAAAAAAACGTTTGCGGTTTTTTGGAAAGTTTAGATTAAAATATTGCGTACTTGTCGCGCGCTCCTCTCAAATGTGTTATATAGTGACGCCGAAGATGTCTTAAGAAAAATGGTAGTCGGTGAGCCCAAAATGGATGCCTTAAACTAGTAGCCAAGGGAAAACCTATGGCTGATCAGGGGGTCTACTTCCTGAGGACAGGGGGATCCCCCAAATCCGCTGCTACATCTCCTTATTGCAAAATGGGAAATTTTGATACTAGATACAAAATCTAGAGAGCATATGAAGAAGACATTCAACTAATATTTTCACTTATCGAGAGACTGCATCGCAAAAGAAACAAAATTTGTAAGTTTTCAGAGTACTGAAACGGCTAACTCGAGACGCCAGCAGTGTAATGACAGATCACGACGCTGGATTCGCCACATACCTTGTGAGTATTTTTGAACTCTACCATCTAAGAACCTACTCCCATGAGTTATTAAAGAGCTATCCTAAGACTAATTTACCACCAGAGGAAACTGAAGAGATGCTAGATGAAGAAGTATTTTGAAAAGTTGCTTACATGGGAGCCACCCAGGGGCGGATCTAGAATTTTCTCGAGGGGGGGGGGGCTTATTTTCAAAAAAGTTTCGAAATTTTTGACGAACTTTTTTTTGAGAAAAAACTAGGTCGAAAAAGCCGTTTTTAGGCAATTTTTGGAAAATTTTGACAAAAAGATCGCGTTTTTTTTGGCGCGCGCTCCCCCTCAAAGTTAGTATATATTGGCGCCAAAGGCGCCTTTAGAAAAATTTTAGGGCCGGTCGGCCAAAAATGGATTTCTGAAAAAGTACCAAAGGGGGGACCCTTTGGGTCGGCTGGGGGTCGAATGCCTGAGAACGAAAGGCGTCCGCACCCCCCCCCCCCTAAATCCGCCCCTGGAACCACCCCTTCAAAAATTTCTGTAATTTTTCTGAACCTATCCATAAGCGCCGAGGATGAGACCGGCATGTCTGAGAGCTTTTTAATCTGAAACTAATATTCAGTCTTTTACTCCATACTCTCACTCTCCGTAGTCTCAAAAGACCTGGAAAAGAACTGGTAAAACCTAGATTAGGTTCAGATTAACTTTATTTCAATCTGTCTGTATATGAAGCAGTTTGACCACAGAAACTGATAGTAGTTCGCCATATATTTGCCCATTCGCGGGAAGCTACAAAAGAGTGATTTCCAGCCAGGTTTCACTTAATGTTGCACATAAATCTCGAATATTTCTCTTTATACATAATGATAGAACACAAAAACTTTTGATGAAGTTAACATAAAAATATTTTTCACAATTTTTCTTCACATTGTCCGGGTGTAACAAAAACTGGCATGCGGACTCATCAAGCGAAAAATATTTTTAGCTTTGTTTCCTACTCAAAGTTTTACGAACCCCATTACACCATAAAATTGTGAGGGGTGGGGGAGAGGAAAAAGAGCCATATTTTTTCCAACACTGAGACAAACTGTATGTCTCAGTCTTGCGAAAAAATTATGACTTTTCCATTACCCCTCATAAGCAACAATTTTATGGTGTAACGAGATTTGTAAAAGCTTGAGTATAAAAAAACTAAATATATTTGCTTTTGCCTAAGGAATCGGCATGCCATTTTATGTCTTTAACAGACAATGTGAACAAAAATTGACTAGTAAAAACTTCAGTTGAAGGTTTGTGTTGAGGGAAAAGATCCAAAATTACCTGAAAACTTTTTTGAAATTAGACAAAGTTAGACGAAATGTGATGACAACCAAGTTTTAACTCTCTGGCAATTTAACGTTGCTGCTATATTATTTAACGCTTTTCTTGTTTTTTGCCCATAACTCATCCCCCTTCTAGAAAAAAGGTTATTTTGGACAAAGCAAACTATTTTTTGATCTTTTTTCACTTAAAATACATCATCTGTTATGTACACTTCAACTTGCTAGCGTTTTTTTGAATGAGAATAATTTTAGAACAAAAAGCACTCAATACTTCTGGTTTTGACATTACGAGGCCAAACTGCGCATTTTTCGAATTTTGAGCGGATTATGCAAAAGCCAAAATCAGTTTTTTTGCGGAATCCGTAACTTTGCTTTTTTTTGGATCTTCTGTGCTGTTTTGGATTCCACAAACAACAAGCTAAAACAATGTACGCTCAAAATTGCTCAAGAAACAGGCGAATTTGTGGAATGCGCTTCTAAGTTTCAATTTCGGAAAAGTTTGTGCATTTCGAAAACGAACAATTATAAAATGCATTTATTTGCGGTTCCAGGAATAGCCTTAGTTGCATTTTGAATTTTTAAAATTGAATCTTTTGTTTGTGTTTCTTCTTTGGTATGTCGATTTTCTTGAAAATAGCAAACTAAAATGTTCCCACTATGATTGAACGAACAATGGAAAAAAAATAGTTTAAACACAATTTTTTAAGTCTCAGGACAGTATAATAGATATACGGCGCGCTCCATCGGTCAAAATTTAAAATTGTCAGCCAATCTTTAAAATTGTGCACGAGGTGGTTTTTTTCTTCAGACATTTTTCAACTTGTTAGCCAGCCTTTTTTGACCAAATTTTTCAAAATCATTCAAAAAGTTTTGTTGTTCTAAGCTTACGTTTGAAAAGATGTTTCACCTGTGATCATTTTTCTTAAAATTAAAGGGGTTCAAGGATTGACATTTTGGCCAGTTTGGGTTTCTTAGCGCGCAAGCGGAAACTCAACCCGTCAAAAAAATTGTTCCAAATTGGTTGAAGGAACCTTATTTGCCATAATTGATTTGTTACTAGTAGCGAAATCTATCACTTCGGACTTTATATGGCGTGTGGGTGGATGGTTTTCACAAAAAAATCTCATATTTCAAAAAAAAACTTTCATTTTAATACATTTAACTATTTTATTTTTTTTACTGCTCCATAGACCTTAACAGGCAAACGAAACAATCACAGCTTCGGAGAAAATTTTTTGACGGAGTTTCCATATCATTCAAAGATTTTTGCTGTTTTGAGCTCAAATTTAAAAAAATTCACCTGTGATTGTTTTTTTTTTGTAAAATTATGGGGTTAAACGTTGCCAAGTTGTGCGCGTTGTGCGGTATTAACTCGTATGGGGAGATTTAAATTGTCTTAGAAGTCGTTCCAAATGAATTGAGGATGCTTTTGATAATTTGCTATCTGGAAAATATAACATTTTGTATATAGAATAGCGTGTGGGGTGATGATTTAGGAAAAGTTTTAAAATGCTTCGTTTTTTCGTTTTTTTTTGTGGAATATTTATTCATTTCTTAAAGCGAACACTTAGATTTTAAAGTGCAATCGGAACATTTAGGGTTTTGATATAGCATTCGTGTGAAGTTCTGTTCCTGGTAACTTGAAAACTATGACTATACAATGATTTTATTTCTTGCAAAAGCTCAGATAAAATGTTATTCCTTTTGCAATAGTGATCCAACTAAAAGCTTTATCGAATAGTGTTTCATTTTTTTGTCGTTCAACATATTTGATTTAACAAGTATTTTTGTAGCCATGGGATTCCAGGCGCAAAAGTTATGTTTGGATTACGTTGGTGTTTGACGACTTTCAAAAGGTTACATGCCACTTTGCCCCACATGGTTGCGCGTTATCAGAGACAGAAGAAAAGGCTTTCGGGAATTTTGAATACTTCTATTCATTTTTTTCAGCTATAGAGCAAAAATGCAAGGCGGGTAAAAGCTGCCAATCTGATTATGTGTACTATAAAGCAGATAAAGTTGCATCGCCAAAGTGAATTGTAAAGAGGGCATGAACACTATCTGAGCCACCGAAAAAGAATTTTCGCTCAGAGTCCATTGCTCCAGTGACCAATGAAAAAAAAATCGGTATTTTCGGTTGAAACCATATTAAAATTGGCAAGGATGGGACCAAGTTTGGTTTCGGACGGTTAACAGCTCTGTTTTTGCTGCACAACTGGGCAAGGATAGTTGAGCTGCTTTCTTAGCTGTTATTTCCTGGAGACTAGTGGCAGTTAGACTACTTTTGATGATACAATTTGCTGCGTGGCTTCTTTTTTTATCTGATGCATGATCTGGTTTGCTTAATCTGGTTTTTCCAGGTCTTACAACGTGGCTGTGCTCGTTTTGGTTGATATCAGTTCATCTCCTGCTGTGATAATAAGCATGCAACACTATCGTGCGCATCTCCAGCGCTCAGTGGCTTTTGTTGTTTGCTTTTTGTGAAATCGTGTTGTTTTTTGTGAAATTGTGTCTGTCGATTATGAGCGGTCGTTTATTTCGTCGAGTCCCCACGCAATTTGACTCATAGTAATTATGTTGGATGTTTAGGAACCAAGTATTAAAAAAGAATGACGCAAAACTTTTAAGAAGCAAATGCTAAAAGATTGACGCAAATTGTCTGATTCTGTTTCAATGGCGTAATTGTGGATTAATGTCAAACCTTGCGTTGTAACCGCCAAAAAACATTTTTGCTTAGGCTCAGCCTAAATTATTTCCAATTAGACTTTTTCGTTTTCTAAAAACGAGTGTAGACTACATAGTCACATGCTGGTCCTCAATTTAAACATCAGAGAATCAAGTAAAACAAGTGTGGTGCAAAACGACATAGGATAAAATGTAATGAGGAGCAAGTTGGCACAGGACAAATTGCCATTTAGGACAAGTTAGTAACGGAAAAATTCGCATAGGGCCGTCTGACTTTGAGCAATAGTCCTGACACCCCTTCAAACAGCCTTTTCCAAAATTTTGCCAAACTTTTTTGCTTTTTTGGCAGTTATAGATAACCTGTAGGGCCGGTCGGCCAAAAGTTGGATTTTGTGTAGTACCTATGAGGTTCGCTTTTCCGCGCCCTTCCCTAAACCCACCTCTGCCTGTGAGCAATTCTTACAGGTAGAATAAGTTTAACACTGTTTAACTAAGAAAGCAGAAATTGTATTCTTGTCGAATAATTGTTCTCCTTTGTTGATCGATCTGAACCAACTTTTTACTTTTTCAGAAAATCAGAGAGTGGAAACGGGGTTTCAGTGAAAACCAAGAAAGTCACTCATCGGACAAAAACCTCTTAGGCGCTGCTTCTGAGATTCTGGGCTACATTATGGAAGACGTCTACGGGGAAGAGGGCGACATCTTCGCGAGCGATGCTGCTCGGGTCAAGATGAACAGCAAGCTGGGAGAGTTCCAGAGAACACAGTTCTCACACGGAGTCTCGGGAACTGAATGTGAAACGCATGAGAAGAAACTGCAAGTGTTGTTTGGTCCTGTAATTGATCGAGCTGCGAACGGAGAGTCGGAGAAAGATACCTCGTATCTGTCGTATGCGGTATCGTACGAGGATAACACGATAAGACTCCTATTTGGGGAGCAAGGCTCCACCAAAAAACAACTGATATCTGTTTTTAATATAGAAGGAAACAAAATCAAGTTGGTCGACAGCAAGTTCTTGCCGAATAAAGAAGACGCGCGCAAAATTGCCATGAGCAATGGGCAGCTTTTTGCAGCTGTTTTGAACGAAAATGGAATTGGTGAAATACAGCAGATAGATTGCTCTACCCTGAAGAACCAAGGCGAATTAGAGGAGCATGGTACCTATGAAGAGGTCCAGTGCTTTCTGCTAATTGGTACACCTGATATGCTGATTGCGATGGAGTGCAAAGAGCAGAATGTGATTAATTACACAATTATCCAAAACGACAAAGTCATTAAAAAAGAACAAGTTGAAATCCCTCTGAAAATCAAATCTTTCAGATCATTCTATCACGGAGATTACTTGTTCCATGCCAATGAGCATGACAACGACTTGATTGCTGTGAAATGGATGGAAAACGGAAACGTTCTCGACAAGTTCAAAAAGTATCACTTCAACCTGGCAAATATCGGAGCCATTCACAGCATCATGGGAATCGACATTGGGGCTAAAATATACTTGGTTGCTGTACAGTTAAGGAAACTAAACCGAATCATGATATATGAGCTGAATTTCAACAGGCCTGATATTTTGAACCCTGCTATTGCTTTGATACAAGAGGAGCGTCTCGATTTCAAAATCATGGCGCTGATCCGGACTGCAAAGAGAGACAAATTGGTGTTTGTGACAACGGACGAAAAGATGGGAATAATGGAGTTAAAAGAACTAACTGTAAAATAACCAATTGAGCGCCGAGGGGGCATTTTTTGTCGCGCACTTTCCCTCTCGATTCTTGTTTCTAAACTTTTCCAAAGAATTTTCAATTTAGAGTGATTTTACGGTAGCTATTTCTGATTAATCAACCGTAGAAATTTCCCAATTTCGCCTTTGACGCCAATCTATTTTAATTTAAAGTGAAAACGCTCGCAAAAAAAAACACAATTTTTTGGTCTAAACTTTGCAAAAAAAAAAACGCTCAAAAACTTTATTTCCGAGCTGAGTTTTTAAAAAATTGAACCGGCACAAAAGTTAAAGGCAAAATGTTTTTATAGGATTTAAAAGGAGCGCGATAATTCATTTTAGTCGGGCTAAAAAGCAGCCCCGTCAAAAACTCTGTGCACTTGCTACTGCTGATTACCCCATTATGAAGTTTCATTTAATGCTTTAATTTGTGATGTTGCAGTTTCTCAAAGGCTTCCAGATAATCATGCCTGATGACTTCTCATGCTGTATTCATTATTATGTAAATAAGGCAAGGGGACAGTTTTTCCCCTTGCCTTGTTTCTGGCTTCAAAAAATCTGGCTTCAGAACTTCAATTTTTTTGGAGAAAAATTTAACTCCTATATTTTTAGATTAGTTGTTTCCCATATTCGACTAGCACCTCATTTTTTCATGACCTTAAAAAAATATTGGGTCGGAAAACCCAATCGGAATTTTGAAAAATGTTTTTTTGAGTTCACATGTTGAAGTTGCAAAAAAAGAAAGAAAACCCGATTAAAAGTAATTGTGAAATTTGGAAGCCAAAAACAAAATTGAGTGAGAAAGCTTGAAAAAAGATTTGTAAGAGTAGTTTTTAGTTTATACACTAACTTTTTTTTAAAAAGTATCTGGTAACTAAGTAGTTATTCTGGTTCTTACCTAGAAGAGTCTATTAATAGTCATCATCTCTACTATAATCAATCAAAATTGAAGCTATATATTTTTTGAAAAAAAAATGCAGATCACGTTTCATTTCTTTTCTCACAAAATCTTGAAATAATTTTCAGGTATAGAATCATTTCACGTAGCGAACACCAGAAAATGTTTATTCTCACGTCCAGGCAGTGATAATTTTTTTAAAAAAAATAACCGTTGGTTTGATATTTTCTTTGCTAAGCCCAGTTTGAAAATTGGGATGGCCCTGATAGTGTCAACAATAAAATGTTGCTTGACATCAATATTCGTTTGCAATTTTCATTTGACTTCGATATATCACCGTGAAGTTAATTAGTTCAGTTAAGCCAACTTTTCAAAAAGCGGGCTTCAGCAATATTAACAACTTCATTTGAGAAAAACTGTCACCCTCAATAAACGACGAATCATTTTCATCATCCACAATTAGACACCCTAATACTCAGTAGCGGATTTAAAGGGGAGGGGGAGTTACTTTTGGGACAATCAACGTTTCCCGAACAACCCTAATTTCGCTATAAAGGCACATTCGGAGCCAATTTTTGCTAATTTTCCGATGGGAGCGGTCCGGTCGTGCAATAGCACCAAAAGCCCTCTTATAAGTTGCAACTCGTTGCTACCCCCACCAGCGGATTTAGCGGGGGAGCGGGTGGGGAAGGGGGGTGTCATCCGGCATGGATAGATAAAACTCCAGATAAAACTTCTTATGTATTCATATATCATTTATGTTTTGATATTATATAACATTAATGTGTACAGGTCGATTGACCTTCCCGAGTCGAGATTTTTCACCTATTTTGAAGCAAGATTTGAGCGGTTTGAGCGGAGCGGTTTTTTTAGACAATTACGCTGAAAATCTTGCTTCAAAATGAGCGGTTTGAGCGGTTTTTGAACGGATTTATCTAAAAAAAACCGCTCAAAAACCGTGCAAGATTTGAACGATTTTGAGCGGTTTATCTAAAAAAACCGTTCAAATCTTGCGCGGTTTTTGAGCGGTTTTTTTAGATAAACCGTTCAAAAATTGCTCGAACCGCTCATTTAGAAGCAAGATTTTGAGCGTAATTGTCTAAGAAAACCGCTCAAACCGCTCAAATCTTGCGCGGTTTTTTTAGATAAACCGTTCAAAAACCGCTCAAACCGCTCATTTTGAAGCAAGATTTTGAGCGTAATTGTCCTAAAAAACCGCTCAAATCTTGCGCGGTTTTTTTTTTAGATAAACCGTTCAAAAACCGCTCAAAACGCTCATTTTGAAGCAAGATTTTGAGCGTAATTGTCTAAAAAAACCGCTCAAACCGCTCAAATCTTACATATTTTCCAGTATTTATTTTGCTCGAGCATTTGAAAAAAGTCGCTCACATTGTTTTTGGTCAAGACATCGAAAAAAATATTGCTTGATTTGAGAACGGTTAAGCACTTTTTTAAGTTGTAGATAGTATTTCAACTGCATCTTAGCGTGGGTTGACTAAAAATGCTTGTCCTACAATTTTTTACAGTTTCATAGGCTCAGAAAATTAAAAAAAAAACTCTAGGATAAGCGTTTTTTCATATACAGGAAATTGTATGATAAGCTTTTTCGGTGTGGGGAAATTCAAAATAAGCATTTTTGGTTTATGGATGTCAACCCGGGGTCACATTATCTTTCCAGGCCTTTTTGTTGGTTTTAATCGGTTTTCTTTATAAGACCGCTCATAAACCGCTCAAAAACCGCTCAAATCTTGCTTGAAAAACCGTTCAAAAATCACCGCAAGAATTGAGCTGTTTTTGAGCGGTTTTTCAGCAACTTTTGAGCGGCTTGAGCGGTTTGGGCGGTTTTTTTTTGGAAAAACCGCTCAAATCTTGTTTAAAAAACCGCTCAAAAACAGCTCATTTCTTGCGGTGATTTTTGAACGGTTTTTCAAGCAAGATTTGAGCGGTTTTTGAGCGGTTTATGAGCGGTCTTATAAAGAAAACCGATTAAAACCAACAAAAAGGCCTGGAAAGATAATGTGACCCCGGGTTGACATCCATAAAACGAAAATGCTTATTTTAAATTTCCCCACACCGAAAAAGCTTATCATACAATTGCCTGCATCAAATGTATGGAAAAATGCTAATCATACAATATTCATACAATTTCAAAAAACCATTGAAAAAAGACTCAATCTAGTTTCTCCGGCTAATTGAACCAAATACAACAGTCTGGTGATGAAAAATAATTACGTTTATTTTTTTGAAAAAAAAATGGTTATCATACAATTTCCATATATGAAAATTGTATGATAACCTTTTTTTCATGAAAGGCAAGATTTTCAGAAATTGTTCAAACTTGTTCATAAACAAATTTAAATTATTTAAGAGTGCTTTTGCTTAATTTAAAGGACAATGCTCATCAAAAACGAAAATTTAATTTGAAGCTAAAAAAATAGTTATCCTACAATTGGCATATATGAAAATTGTATGATAACCATTTTTTCATAAAAGTCAAGATGTTCAGAATAATGTTAAAACTTGTTTTTAATCAAATTTAAAGTAATCAAGAGTGCTTTTGCTCAATTTAAAACACCTTGCTCATCAAAAATGAGATTTTAAAACCAGGTTTTTTGCTCAGTTTTAATCGTCACAAATTGTTAGCTTACGACGAGTAAAACTGAGATATCGAAGGTCGGAGCCACACAGTTCTTCTTCTCCGAAAATGACTCGGGGTAGGTAGGGGTTAGGGTTAGGTTAGGATTAGGGTTTCTTAAGAATAATTTCACAATTTTTGGAAAACAGATTTGAAAAAAAAATTAAAAAAAAAAAAAATTTCTAGCCACAACAATTCTCTTTGGATCAACTCTGAATAACTGACGCAATATTCGTCTTTGGGAAAACAAAACAGGTTTGTCCATCCATTTATCAAGTGATACTCATGATCTATCTCATTTTTTTTGAGAATTTAGGCCAAAAAAACTGTTTCAAAAGTTTTTTTACTTTGAAATGAGATAATTGTCATGATCTTAGAATATCATGATGTCATTGAACTGTAATATCAAACATTATCCAGGAGAAATAGTTATCACTTTTTTATTGTGGATTGTTTCTAACGGAAATTTTGCTGTTTGATTATTATTTAATACTGTAAATATCACCAAATTGTTCATACTGATCAAGTATACAACAATCACTAACCGATTAGTCCAGCTACCACCAACAACGATAGCTGTAATAGTATATAATTAATGCTTAAAACCTTGCTTTTACATATATCTCAAGTCCTGACCTCTAAGTCATCATTTGATAACAGGAGTGTGGGATTGCCATCAAAGCGATACGAATTCATGCGGAAGAAGACAAAAACAAGAATACAGATATTCTAATTCATTAAATCCTGGCAATTTTGAGGAGTTTTGCATGGAGCTGACGTCTTCTAACAGCCATCATCACCAACGACGAAAATTGCGCCAATTGAGAATTGCCCCAAAGAAGGCAACTACTGAAGAAAAAGAAGAAAAAAACCCACTCAAGGGTTAATAGCAGTTATTCTAACATCCAGAGACAGAGAAGATGGTCTAAAAACGGAAGCAGCCATGTCATTTTCATCGACATTGTCTTAGACCAACTGATCAGTGGTTTGTTCGACCAGTGAAAAATGAAAAACCGTCAAATTTTTTTAAAGAGTAGTGGTGTCATATTCTTAGAAAATCATGATGTCATTGAACTGTAACATCAAACATTATCCAAGAGAAATAGTTATCACTATTTATATGTGGATTGTTCCTAAAGGAAATTTTGCTGTTTGATTATCATATTATACTGTAAATATCACCAAATTATTCATACTGATCAAGTATACAACAATCACTAATCAATTCGTCCAGCTACCAGCAACAACTATAGCTGTAATAAAATTTTATTAATGCTTAAAACCTCGCTTTTACATAAATCTCACGTCCTGGCCGCTCAAGTCATCATAATAATCCCAGAATTCTTATTGTTTGATCAATATTTTGAAATTTTCTCATTCTTTTTATTATTATGTGATTTCCTTCAACTCATTCAAAGCCGAAGAAAATAAAAAAAAGGTTTTGATACAGGGATGAACAAAAGGCTAACAAATAGCCAAATTTGTTTTCCTAGTCAGACTGTTTTCTTTTAAGACGTAACAAGAAAATGAAATTTTAAGCTCTGAAAGTGGTTTTATATTATTTTCGTAGCTCAAGAGAAGCTCAACCATACCAATTTTTTTGAAATCCAATAAGTTTCCGTAGAGAAATGATCTTTTTTCTGCTGCCAGTCATTCTGTTATCAACATTTTTTTTTCTAGGACTCATAACGTTATGAGTCAATTTTAACATGATTTGATTGTAGTTTCAATCAAAAGATCATAGCTAGAGCTCTCTAAAGCACTCCCATTTGTTGCAAATTTAGAGAGGAAAAGATGTTTTCGACTAATTGCAACTTTTGCGAAAATTGAATTTTATACCAATTCTGAGTTTTTTCTCGTGTCTTTGAAATTTTCCTTTTTACTGAGGAATGCAAGGTAATTAGAAGCTCAATTGTGTTGTTGAAAAACAGAGTAAGTGAGTGATTACGATGAACCTATTGTAGTTTTAGTTTCTAAGAAAACATATTGGGGAAGCCGTACCAAAAACAAAAAAAATTATGCAAAGTAGCAAAATAACACATTGAATTTTGCAATTACATCTAA